TTTTTTTTCCGGACATTTTGTTGTTTGAAAAGTCATGTGCGGCCGGCTACTTCTCAACTCTCACATTTGTTTTCAACTACACATAGTTACTTTAAGAGTTTAAGAGTGTTTGTGTTTGGTAAGCACTATAAACTAGTTTATATAGCTTATTTGATTAGCTTACGAGCTTTCTATATACAAATAAGCTTGGTTTCGCAGGACAAGGATGAGCTCTTTTAAAATGCTCGAGCTTATCTCATAAATTTCTTTGAGTAGCTTTTCAAATAAGTGCCATTGAAAATTTTATTTCAGCTAATTTTACCAAAACACTTTTATTATATCGGCTAATTTTTCAAGTTGTAAGCCATCTGGAAACTGTAAGCTATCATCTAACTTAGCTTAGCTGAGCTTATCAGTCATAAGCTTATAAGCTTACCAACTAGTTTTATGAAGCATGTCTTCTCATTAAACTCGCTAAACTCGTGCTTTTTTGCAAAAGTTTTTGTCCGAATCTTTTGTAATTAAAATATTGTTTCTCATTTCCGATGCAGATTACTTCGACTTTAACATTTGCCGCCGCTTGTGCATCGGCCGGCATCACTGTTCTCATTGGTAACGATCTCAACAAGTGTAATCTGAACCACTGCACTAGGTTCATGTCGGCTACAGCCATGGCTTTCTTGAGCTGGTTTGCAGTTTCTCCATCGTTTATATTGAATTTCTGGTCACTTGCCTCTCGGTAACATGTAAAAAAATCGAAGGACCACCAGAAGAGAAAAAAAAAAAAAAAAAAAAAAGCCGTTTTAAGCTATTAATCGGATTTTGCTACTTGTATTTTCTCATGATTTTGAGGAAAGACTCTCTACTATGTAATTTGCTGGCTTATCATCTGTGGTGAAGTGAATTGGTTTGTGTAAGAAGAAATATTTTCCCTTAGGTGGAGAAGTGAACATTGTATTTTGTGGACTATTTAGTTGGTGAATTTATTTTGATTTTATAAAAGTGTTCCTTGTGCATTGATAATTTGATATTAAGAGTTTGAATTTTGCCCAAATGCAAGTATGAAGCAATCATTTTTGAACCTAGACCGGTCTGGTTCTTATCATTCTTTCTTCTTTTTTTTTTTTTTTTTTGGAAAGTTCTGTAAAATATAACGGGTTCGGTTTATACATTATATATAACGGATTGATTAATCGAGTTTCTTGAGTAATCGAATTACAAGATATAACAGTTATTAATGTGGATTTAGATATTTTCTACATTGATGTGGCATAATAAAACCATCTTTGAATTGATTGCGCACCACATGGCAATCTATGTCGAGGTGCTTGGTGCGCTCGTGGAAAACGGGGTTGGTCGTGATGTGGAGAGCTGTGCGATTGTCGCACCAAAGCGAAATAGGTGGGGCCAGCACAACACCGAGATTAGCTGCAAGATACGAAATCCATTGAAGTTCACACATCATTGAAGCCATTGATCAATATTCCGCCTCGGCTGAGGAACGTGATATAGTTTTCTGCTTATTTCTTCCAAGAGATCAATCAAGGCTTCACCCAGAAAAATACAAAAGCCGGTCATGGACCTTCTAGTAAGTTGGCAACTACCCCAGTCGGCATCACAAAATGCTTCAAGGTTATGAGATAATTGTGCCTTGTAGTACAACCCCGAGGAAGGGCATCCCTCGAGATATTTAACAACATGAATAGCATATGTCCAATGAGCCTGAGTTGGTGCATGAACATATTGGCTTAATTGCCGAATGGCATAAGATACATCAGGCATTGCAAGGTTAAAGTAAAGCAATCTCCCAATGAGGATTATGTATGTTTCTGTATCATGAAACATGGGAGAATTCTGATTGGTCAAATTAAGACCTTGATGAAGTAGAGTGACCACTTGTTTAGAATCCTCAACTTTAAGATCTGTGGCAATGTCCAGAATATATTTTCTCTGGCTGAGAGAAGAGTCTGCAATATCCCTATGAATCTCAAACCAAGAAGGACTTTGGAGGACCTAAATATTTAGTAGCGAAACGATCATTAAGATAAGACTCCAGTCCAATAATGTCTACCGAAGAAGATCCTGCAATAAGCACATCATCAACATAAATGAGAAGAGCAACGAAATGCATTCTTGTACTCTTAATGAAACGTCAATAATCATAAGTAGATTGCTTGAAACCAAATGGTAAAAGTTTATCTAAGAACTCAATGTTTCATTGTCTTGATGCCTTTTTCAAACCGTATAGACTTCTTCTCAATAAACAAACTCCATCCTTCATAGCCTTTGTGTACTCTTTTGGGGTTGCATATAAACCTCCTCTTCCAAGTAACAACGGAGAACTGCATTATTTATATCAATGTGATGAAGTTTCAGCTTTTGTTGTGTAGCCAAGGCAATAAGTAACCTCACAGAAACTAGCTTTTCCGTAAGCGAAAAAGTTGTCAAAAAAATCTATTCTTCCCTTCTGAAGATATCCTTTTGCAACCAATCTAGTCTTGAACTTATCAAACACTACCATTTGAGTTCCTTTTGATTTTATAAACCCATTTCGAACCTATTGCCCTTTTCAGCTGGTAGTTTGGTTAGTTCCCAAGTTTCATAAGATTCCAAAGCCTGCAACTCCTTGTTCGTTGCATCAATCCATCTCCCATCCGTGGTTGCTTGTTCATAAAACATAAGTTCAGTGCCTTCCTCTTCAACTTCAGTGAGAAACAGAGCTTGAGTTTGTATGATCATTATGTACAATAAAACCACATAATCAAACTAATATTAACTACATGTATATAGTGTATACTTATTTGGCTACTAGCTCTCTCTTAAGTGAAAGTGACTCCTCAAAAAGAACTCTTTCCCTATTGTAGAAAGTCAAAATTATGTAATAAAAATGCTCCAACAAATTCCGTATTCAATCATCTCTATTATTGAGCTGCCCAAAAGATCTAAAACACAATAATAATAATAATAATAATAATAATAATAATAATAATAATTGAGCTGCCCAAAAGATCTAAAACGCATCAGATTGGCTCCGCGCAGTCCCGATTTCTGGGCTAGGACAAACGATGAATGGTAAGACCTACCGTGCTGTGCTCTGCTATCGGTTAGGTGTGCCATTATTTTCCATTTCCAGACCATGTTCGACTTGCTCTCGGGTCTTTGACGGAGATATATTTGGCGATCATGCGGTGTCATGTGCCGGTGTGGTTGGCATTAAACATCGCCATAACCTTGTTCGCGATACTCTTTCAGATGTCTGCTTTCGCTCCGGGATCTCTGTTGGTAAGGAGGTCGATATTGGACTCCTTGATGCGCAAGATAGACCACTTCGCCCTGCTGACTTGTTACTTTACTCATGGGATAGGGGGCTTGACGTTTGCGTCGATTTGACTGGTTCCTCGCCCTTGACCCAGTTCGGGATGTCTGACTTCGTTCCGGGACGTGTTGTGGTTGATGCCGCTCAGCGCAAACGGGCAAAATATGACGCCTTGTGTGCAACTAAGGGCTATGGATTTCTTCCATTCTCTTTCTCTTCATTGGGGGAGTTGCACACGGAGGCCATCGCCCTACTCAAGAGGATACAGAAGTATTCTGTATCTCAGGATGCTGGAGCACGTGCCGCTCCTCATATTTTCACTCGTATTAGCTTTTCCATTGCTAAAGGAGTGGGGGCCCAGATAGTATCTCGGCTCCCCTTCAATTTCTTGTAATCATTTTGATTTCAATAATAATAATAATAATAATAATAATAATAATAATAATAATAATAATAATAAAAAAATAAAAATAATAATAATAATAATAATAATAATAATAATAATAATAATTTCTATATATAATTCCCGAATGCGCTGAACCTACGTGGCTGCTTCTGGTGCTTCGGAATCCTACTTGGCGAAGAATCATGCTTCGTAATTAGGTTTGGACAAATAATATTGATATATTAATAATTAATAATTAATAATCTAGGCTCGGATATTCCATAAATATTATTTATCTAACTTAGTTATTTTAATATCACTTGTACTAATATAACTCTTTAATTATTTGTAATTTTACATAGTGAGTCACTAAGTGACTAATATATCCCTATACCCCTGACTTTGATTTTTTTTCCTTCAATTAGCTATTTAATTGTAAATGTTTTTAAAAAGTTGATAACTTTTGTATTTCTTATCGGTTTTACATATATTATATATCAAATTAATCATCTTTTGATGATCTTCGATTTGACATCCATATTGTATATATGAAAAAATAAAATAATAATAATAAAATAATATTTATTAAAATTCATTAGAAAAATAAAATTATTTATCAATTGATATATTTATTTTTAATGTAATTATACGTTGTAAGTTAAAAAATTATTATAATATAACACATGTGAGTCGCATAAATAAAAAGTGTCATACAAAATATATAATAATATATATTTTTATAAAAAGTATTTAAATTTCAACTACTTTTTTTCATTAATTTTAGATTTTAAGAAAAAAATTAGCAAGCACCCGTGTAATACACGGGTGTTGTACTAGTGATAATAATAATAATAATAATAATAATAATAATAATAATAATAATAATAATAATAATAATAATAATAATAATAATAATAACTATGCCAAGTTGGTTATTTTGGATAGGTCTAGTTGGATTTTATTGTTCTCGAGTATAAAATTCTCGCTTAAGCAATCAAATAATTTTTTATTTTTTTTGAATTTGATAATTTTTATGGGATTAAGATTGGAAAACATTGATCGAATGAAATAAAAGATTAATTTTGTGTATGTGATTGAATATGAGTTCAAATGAAACGACTAAAGTTGATGTCATATAAAAATAGTAAAATACTGATCCTGAAAAATTGATAGTTATAAATGTGAGTGAATGAATAACGAATTTTATTATAAATTGTGTAATAATATTTAGATTTTATTATTTAATTATATTGATAATATTTAGAAAGATTAAAATTAAATTGAATTAGATGAATAATAAAGTTTGAGTTAAAATCTAAATATTTGTTTAAAAAAATGTGACAAATGAAAATAAGCACAGCTAAGATATTTAAATAATTGGCCGACTATTTATATCGGGCCAACCTCATAAATTTTGTAGATATTACTCAATTAAAATCATTGGCACACACAATTATTGAGATCTTCTATTTCACAAAGCAAATAGAACTAAATAAAAAAGAAAAAATATGGAGGTGCTACAGTTTCGTAACGGAATTATTTTGTCTGAGTTTATAATCGTTAAATCTATACTTATATTAAAGGCCATACCATTTACTTAAATTAGTAGGTAGAAAAGTCAAAGCAATTAATGCTTATCTATTTTTATCATTTGAATATTATATTTTATATTTATTTATTTCAAATCTAATCATTACTTAATGCTTTTAAATGCAGTTGAAACTTTTTTGGTGTTTGATTTTTAAATCCGTGCATTTTGGAATCTTCCAAACTATTTTCATAAAAAAATAGAAATCAGATTTCATTGTTGTTAAAAAAAATCTCAAAAAAATATAAATCTAATTTTTTAATTAGTTAATTTTTAAATCCGTGCATTTGGGAATCTTTCAAACTATTTTCGTAAAAAAATATAAATTAGATTTCTTTGTTGTTAAAAATAAATCTCAAAAAAATATAAATCTAATTTCTTAATTAGTTAGAAATTACGATGCCTAATGGGTCAACATACAAATCCTCAGCAGAAAATAATACACGTGATTGTG